AAAAAAAAAAAAAAAAGCTGTGACAGGGAAATTTTAACGCTGATTGATACTTTTGATAAGTACAACCATGGTATTGTGGTTAAGTTAAAAAAAAAGTGTTGCTTTCTTCTAAAGATAAAAAGTGGAGTACATACGAAGAAAATGATGTGATGTCCTCCGATATTCTTAAAAATCTTCAGTGATGGGGCACCTGGGTGGCTCAGTTGGTTAAGCATCCAACTTTGGCTCATGAGATAACTGACCTATATTTTTCAAAAGTGTCAAGGTCACAAAAGACAAAGAAAGGTTCAGAAACTGTTCCAGTTGAAGGAAACTAAAAAGACAACCAAATATAACAAGTGATCTGGGATTTTCTTCTGCTTTAAAGGTCAGTAATAGGACAATTGGTGAAATCTGATCAACATGTATAGATTCCTGATTTTGATTATTTTACTAAGGTTATATAAGAGAATGCTTTGTTCTTAGGAAACACGGTGAGGTATTTAGGTAGGTCAATGGACGCATGGATGGATGGAGAGAGAGAGAGAGAGAGAGGGAGGTAGATAGGAGGAGCCTAGACTGCTAGTAAGTGAGCATCTGTCCTTATTCAGGACCAATTTCCAAATCCTTTTATATGAGAGAAATCAATTTCTCTCTCTCAATTTAAGTTACTAATATTCTGTGTTTTCTGTCATTTGCAGCTGAGCCTAATAACTTGTTATCATAATTAAAAGAAATATTCCAGGGGCGCCTGGGTGGCTCAGTCAGCTAAGCACCCAGCATCCCGCTCTTGATTTCTGCTCAGGTCATGATCCCATGGTTCGTGGGATCAAGCCCTATGTTGGGCTCCCCGCTGAGCATGGAGTCTGCTTAAGATTCTCTCTCCCTCTCCCCCGTCCCTCTCCCTCCCTCGTGCGAGCACATGCTCTGTCTCTAAATTAAAAAATAAAATAAAATAAAATCACTTTTCTAAAAAGTTAAAATTCAGCTTCTGCATCACTCTGGCCACATTCCATGTGCTAGTAGCTTAAGGATCTGCATTTTACCAGGTTGTTCCAGGTAATTCTGATGCCCCCTAATATCCAACAGCCTCGGGAAGGAGAAAGGAGGTGAACATCATTATGCATCCCTGTGAGTTGGTCTGTTCTGTTCTAGGCTCCAAGATTTGAGAGATATCAGTAAATTAGATTTTCAGATCAGGAGGATCAGATGTGACTACATTTTTCAATCAAGGACCGCATGGGTTCAAATCCCTGCCCCTCCACTCACATGCCGCGTGACCCTGGTCAGATTACTTGACCTCTCTGGTGCCTCAGGGTTTTTCACTTGTCAGAGCACCAATACCAGTCTATTCTACAGAGTACCTGAAGCCGTTGCTTCCCCTGTTTTAGTTTCTTCACAGAAAATAAACTTGACACTAAGTGAAATGGCCAGCATTTGTTTTGGCTTCAACTCACTTGACAAACATTTCTTGAGCACCTGCTGTGTCCTCACCACCGTTCTGAGCACCGGGGCCAAGCAGTGAACAAGACCTATACGAGTCCCTGCTGTCACAGAACTGGCATCCTAAAGGGCAGGTAGAAAATTAACAGGACAAAGAAGCAAAATGTGCTCCATGTCGGAGATTAGCAAAGGAAGCAGGCAGGACAAGAAATGTTCGCGTGGCCAGGGGCCTCACCCAAGGTGGTATTTTATGGTAGACCAGAAGGAGCAGAGAGGAGTCCCGGGCATATGTGGGGGAAGATAGGAAGATCATTCCAGGCAGAGGGACCAGCAGGTGGAAAAGTCCTGCAGTGGGAACATGCCAAGTACTGTTTGAGATGTGAGAGACACGGGGGCGCCTGGGCGGCTCAGTCGGTTGAGCATCTGACTTCAGCTCAGTTCATGATCTCATAGTTCGTGAGTTTAAGTCCTGCGTCGGATCCTCTGTCCCCCTCTCTGCTCCTCCTCTGCTCATTCTCTCTCTCTCTCAAAAATAGATAAACTCGGGGCGCCTGGGTGGCGCAGTCGGTTAAGCGTCCGACTTCAGCCAGGTCACGATCTCGCGGTCCGGGAGTTCGAGCCCCGCGTCAGGCTCTGGGCTGATGGCTCGGAGCCTGGAGCCTGTTTCCGATTCTGTGTCTCCCTCTCTCTCTGCCCCTCCCCCGTTCATGCTCTGTCTCTCTCTGTCCCAAAAATAAATAAAAACATTGAAAAAAAAAATTAAAATAAAAAAAATAGATAAACTCAAAAAGAAGTTCTAGAGACACAGTAATAAGACAGACGCAGTCTTATCTTCAAATGCTCACATTTTCCTGGGGGAGACAGATAAACTGACCTATAATCTCCTCCCAGGGGATAAGCTGGAGAGGGACTCCAAAGAGAAAAAGATGGTCAAGACAGGCCTCTCTGATGACGTGGTAGTTGAACAGAGGCCTGAAGAAGGTAGAGAAAGCAGGTATGTATCTGGGGGAACTCTTTGGACTGACTCTGGCCTGGCCTGTGCCTCTTTCTCCTCCCAGTTTCAGCTGGGGCTTGGGTTTCCAAAGGGAGGTTGTCCCCAAACTGTTGGAGGAGGGGAATCCTGACAGGGAGTGCAGACCTCAGCCTCTGGCTGCCGTCTGCCCCACTCCTTCCCCCCCGGGGCTGCCCCAGTGTTTGCGCTGGTGCTGGGGCGACCTAGGTGGGGCTCTAGCTTAGGGACTGGGTTCCCCCATCAAAGTTCCAAATCTATCTCCAAAGGAGCCGCTGGGCCCTGTGCCTCTGGGCAGAGGGGAGTGTCACCCTGGAGCTGAGCTAGGAAGCCACCTCCCAGCTGTGTCCCATCTGGGTTTCTCCTGGTTCTGGGTGCGGCTGGCAGCCTGCACTCCCCACTCCCTCGGTGGCAAAGAGGGGGTTGAGGACACTCTCTGTGGCCTAGTGGTGGAGCTGGGAGGATCATATCCAGACAGGCACTGCCCTAACTAGCTGTGTGACCCTGAGCAGGTCACGTACCTTCTCTGAACCCACATCGCCACGATCGATCATGCCTAGTAACTCCCACCTCCTGAGGATTCACGTCTTGGAAAGTGCTTGATGGGAAAAGTTACCCGTTCCTTTGGGGAATACTGAGGCCTGGAAGGTTATCTGGGCCCGTGTCCCCCAAGACCATCCCTCAGGGAGGAACATGTACTTGGGATGAAGTAGGGGACCTCCCTAAACACGCCAGGCTATCTTTAAAGGGAAGCAAGAAGGCCTGGAGTCTAATTAACCACTGGGAGGGGCCAGACAGATGCCTTAGGGAAAGGTCAGCATTTACCGGAAGCCACTGTAATCCTGGCTTGGGTGGGGTTAGGGGTTGGGGCACAGAATAGGAAAGCCGGCAAAGTAGGAGTGGCCTGGATGGCAGCCACCCCCCCCAATCCCATCCCCCCTCCAGCCACGGGGTGCTAGTGGGGTGCCGCCTTAGCCCTAAAAAGACAACCACCACCAGAATGAGAGATTGAACCGTTTATTGGCCTGGGCCTGGATCTCAGGCATGGGGGGCATCTGGGGAGCTGTACGAGGGGAGACAAGCCCCCAACTGGCTCCTTGCCCCCCGAGACCCCCTCCCCAGCCTTTGCATTCACGAGAAATCACTTTGAGGCGTTAGGTTTCCTTCCCCGAGGAGAGCTGTACCCCAGCTCTCAAGTGGGGAGATGAGCCATTAATTACAAAGGGGTCTGTGCAGGGCCAGATCCCTCTTTGGCAGCTTCAAAACAGACACGAGACGACAATAGCATCCATTCGGGGGGGAACATGGTGGGGAGAGCGGGTCACAGATACCACACACGCACACAGACACACATAAATATACATTTGTACCGCAATGTCCCTTCCATCTGTCCATGGAATTTAGTAAAGTCCTTCTGGGGCAGGTGAGGGGAGAGCATCCCACAAATGTCCTCGGCATGCCCACCCCTGTGCTCCTCCGTAGGAGACAACTCGAAAGGAGGCACAGTGGGTTCAAGGTTGCCCCGCCCCAGGAGATCCAGTACCTCCGCTGGGCTGGAGGTGGCAGTAGTTCTGGGTGGTTGTTTTTTCTTTTTTTTTGGGTGGGGGGGGAATCCTGTGCAAACAGTTCCCCTAGAACTTTCTCAAGTTCCACCCTTTCCCACCAGGAGGCCCAAAGCCCTCCTCAGCTCCCCCAGACCAGTTTTTCCAGCCCTCGGTGATTCCTCTGTGCCCCAAATAGTGCAACTGGCCGATGAGGTCTGAGAACGGCATCCAGCCCCCCCTCTCCACCCCATGGTTTCCCGGCATGTCATGGAGAGAGAGAGGAGAAAAGAAGAAGAGGCCATAGTGGCAGCTGGTGACATTTGGGGAAGCTGTGGATTTGGGCTTTGCAACTGTCAGCCGGGGCCACCCAGGACGGTCAAGGAGGAGGCCTCCGGCCCCTGGGGGCAATGGTTCTGGGGGAAGTGGCCTAAGGTTGCCAGGAGGTGACAAGGGGGCTAGATTCAGAGAGGGGAGCCCTGTACAGGGCAGAGGGTCAGATGGTCATGAAATGTTGAAATCCCTTGTAAGGGGTTATAAGTGGCTCCTGCCCTGAGCTCCCCCTGAGTGCTTGCCTGCTGTCACCCAGGCCCCTTCCAGGTCCCCCAGTCCTCCCCACGATCCAGTTCTGAAGGGGCCACACCAGTTACTGCACTAGCCTCTGACCCTGCAGCTCTGCCATCCGACTGGCTGGTGTCTCAGCCGGCCAGCCCTGGCGTGAAGTATTTTCAATACCACCCAGGTCTGTGGAGCGGGGGCATCTTGCTTGGCAACCCCACGTCTCTGTCCAAGGTCACCCGGTGTCTCTCCACGGAGCCCTCTGCCATGGCCTCGTGGCCCACTTCGCCCCTCAGACCATCGTGTTGCCCTCCAGAAACGTGGGCGACGTGGGCATGTGTGTGCCCCTCTCTAGCGAGCTGGAGCTGCGGAGAGGCAGGAGGCGATGGCCCGGGGTCCCGCCCCGCCGCCCTTGAACGCCCGCCGCCCGCCGGCAGCACTGCAGCGGCCGAAGTACCTCCCGCCGCAGGTCCCGGCTGCGCCACGTGTAGATGACGGGGTTGAGCAGCGAGTTCAGGGTGGCAAAGGCAAAGAAGTAGTGGGCCTTGTAGAGGACGGGGCAGGACCGGACGGGACAGGCATAGTCCAGGAGCAGGATGCTAAAGGCAGGCAGCCAGCAGACGATGAAGACACCCAGCACGATGGTGACCGTCTTGAGCAGGGCCAGCGTCTGTGGGCCGGTCACGTCGACGTGGCTGGAGCGGACCACGCAGTAGATGCGGACGTACAGAGCGACGATGGCCAGTAAGATGACGGAGAAGATGGTCACCACGCAGAGCACATAGTGCTTGGTATAAAGCGGCAGCACGGTGGAACAGGCCTCGAGATGGCCCAGGCAGTTCCAGCCCAGGATGGGCAGGCCTCCGAGAACAAGCGAGATGAGCCACGAGGCCACGATGAGCAGCAGCATGCGGCAGCTCTTGTCGCTGCCGTAGAGCTTGACCTTGGCGATGGCCACGTGCCGCTCAATGGCGATGGCCAGGAGGCTGAAGACGGAGGCGGAAAGCGTGATGAAGGCGGAGCCCTCTCGGGCAAACCACTCCAAAGGGGTCAGCCCCAGCGTGACGGGGCCTGAGAGCAAGGTATTGGCTACAAAGGCCACACCCGTCAGCAGGTCCGAGGCGGCTAGGTTGCCCAGGAACAGGTACATGGCCGAGTGGAACTTGCTGTTGCGAGCGACAGCAATGAGCACCATCAGGTTCTCCACCACGATGGTGAAGCAGATGAGGACGATGACGGCCAACGCCACCCAGCGGGAGGTGCTCTCCTGAGTGTCCAGCGTCTCCTTGGTGTAATTATAGTGTTCCAGGACCTTGCTGGGGCTTAGGTACTCTGAGTACAGGCTGCCCATGGTGGGGCTCAGTGGCCAGCCAGGGCCATGGGGCTGTCACAGCTGCAGAGGGAAAAGACCAACAGACAGGTCAGTGTCGTGGCCGCTCCCTGGGCTCTGACTCCAGGTGGACGCGGTGTGAGTCCCAGCTTCCTCACTTCTCACCGAGTGGCCGTATGAAGTGAGGATTACCATCGTCCCTGCTTTACCAGTGGGAAACCCAGAGAGGTCAATTCACTTCCCGTAAGTCTCAAAGCTAGTAAGTCTCCAAGTGGCAGAGCCGGAGACCCACTCCAAAGCCTCTAGAACTTCTAGGCTGCACTGTCTTCCAAAAAGAGCAGAAAGTCCTCCAAACACAAAGTGAACTTCCAGAACCCACGCTCACCCACCCGGAAAGTGAGCCTTGGGCAGGGCTGGGAGGGCTTGTCTCCTTTCCAGAATACACTAGAGCCTGGGGCTTCATGCTGCCTGCCAACCTGGGTCAGCAAGATGCTCGCTAATAGCACCATCCCCTGCTCATTACCACCCACAGCCCTGGATTTCAGGCTGGGTCTGAGCCTTGAGGCCATGGGTGCTCCCAAGATAAGGTCTTGGGGAGACACCAGGGCGGCCTGAGGTTTAAGCATCTCAGAGGTCATGGCAACTTCAAGGACAAAGACCTTGGAGGCAATCCAGGGTTGAACCGCACTCCACCCGACCTGCTGTGGGACCTTGGGCAAGTCACCGAATGCCCAGCCTCTCAGCCCCAACGTCCTCATCTGTGCAATGGGGAGAGGAAAGCCCACTTCATAGGGGTAATGGGAAAATCCTGTCGAATGGTACATGAAGCACCCCTAGCACATAGCAAGCACTCAATAAATATTAGCTAATATATTAGCTCCCTTAGGTGCCCTCCATCCAATCTTTTAGGAAGGGATGGAGACTGAGCTACAGGCCAGACTCCCAACATCCTGTTCTCATCAGCACCATCTAGCCCTGCCCTGCAGAGGGTCCCAGCGGGGTAAGCAGGGCACTGGCACACCCCCCCATCCCCAGCCAGGATGAAATCCAGATGTGAGGCCCCTGGAACAAACAGGGTGGAGTCCTCACTCCCCAGTCACATCCGGTGTGGGAAAGGCTGGGAGGGGGTGATGGGATGGGGGAGCCACAGGAGACCAGTCTGGGAGGTCTTGGCTGGGAGGACCAGGCAGCTGCTGCAACGCTCAAGTCATGTGAGCCGAGGAGGGGGCGTGCAGCCCTGCCGGGAGGGGGCTCAGGGGAAGGGGGGGACCGGCATTTATTTCCATGAAAGCCTGAGTCACCCCCTTCTCAAAGAAAACTGATCCATGGGGGGAGGGGGCGGGAAGAAGCGTGGGCAGAAGATGAGAAGCCAACATCATGGCCTCCTCCCAGCTTGCTGGCGGTGGGGGCGGGGGGCGGGGGGGGTGTCTCTCAGAGGAGCTGGTGCTGTGTCTGTCTTTAAGGAGGGGAGCCAGGAAGAAGCTCCAGCCTTTAGCTGATGGGGGAGGGCGCAGGAAGAGCCCGCCCTGGGTCCCTGGAAACATGCCGGGCAAGGACCACGTGCGCTCCAGGAGTACCGTTCCAGAAAAAGGCTGGTTAGGCCGGTTCCTAGTGAGCCTGGGAACTATGGGGGGCTTCCGGGGTCACTCAGCCATCTCAGTCCTCGGAGGGGGCGTCCTGGCCCCAGGCCTGACAGAGGCAGCTGCTCCCCCTGGGTAAAGGGGCATCCGTCCTAGTTTGGAAACAGAGAAGGGCTTGTGCGCATCCCCGGAGACTGCCGCCCCGCCCAGATCGCCACACAGAGGCCCCTTGTTCCCCTGACGGACCGGGCCCTGGGCGCCCCGATGCCCTCTGCCCGATGCAGGCTGCAGCCGGCCGGGAGCTAACTTGGCCCTGGCCTCGGCCTTACTGGACCGACCTTCGGGGCAGAAACAGCCGGCGCCCTGATTGGCTTGTTTTCAATCCCAGGGCATTGAGCGATTCGCCAATTGGCCAGAGCTTCCCGTCCTCGGCATTTGATTGGCCCAGTTGGGGGCGCCCTAAGGGAAGCGCCAGTGAGCCGTCCTTCACCGGCCAACGGCTTCTTTCAGAAGACAGAGTTAAGGCTGTGGACATGTCTCTGGGGAGAGTGTGAACCGCGGCCTGACCGCAGGGTCACGACAACCAGACGCCCCCAGGCTGCCCTGGCCTACTGGGCCCCTCCTAGGGTTCGTGATTGAGAATCAAGGACCCGTTGCAGGCCTGGGAAACACCCTTGCGGGTGGGCAAGAAGCCCAGGGTGTGTCCCATGGCCACCCGCTCCACCCCTCCCACACATGGGGCCACCAACCCTCTCTGGCAGCCAAGAGGAAGATTTATGGATGCTTCCTGGAGAATTGAGAATTGGGTTCACTCCTCACATCCCCGAGACTGACCAAAAAGTCTGTCTTCTTCCCTGGGGGGAAGATTGGCAGTCTGCACACTCACTGTCTGCAGCCCCAGGAGACTATCAGGGCATCCTCAGAAGGAGGGGTAGCTCCTCTAGTCAGAGAAGGGGAAACGGAGGCTCACACTGCCTTCCTCTTCTCATCTTCCCCACTAGGACTTTGCTGAAGACAGAGCTTAAAGCAGGTCCATGCTTTCCAGAAAGAGGAAGCAGAGCCTGGAGGTTGGGACTGACAGGAGAGTCAGCCCTAGGCAGATACAGGCCTTGGCTGTTTCCCCTCCCTGTGTCTGGCTCCCAGACCCGGCTGGCTAAATACAGGGCCTGTCTCCTGCTCACCTTCTCCAAGGCAGCCCTAACTTCCTCCCAGAGGCTCAGTAGGGGATCGCTGGGCTCAGAACCTGGGAATGGCCAGGCCTGAAATGGAATGAGAGGGACAAGTGACAGAGTTTGTTGGGAAGGGAAGACAGACCAAGACTGTTCAGGGGGAGATTAGAAAAGAGGAAAGACAGAGAGGAAGCCTCAGAGGCTTCCAGGAGTCCCTCCTCCAAGTTCCACGGAGGCAGCTTACAGTTCTACTGTCACTCACCGATCCCATGCCACTTGCCCTGGGACAGAGCCCCCACCTTTTCTTTTGGTTTCCCTTCTGCAGTCAGGCCCACCCTACATTGCCATTCTCCATGCAGCAGCCAGGGGGAGCTATCTAATTTACAACTCCAGTACAGGGTGTCACTCCAACTTCCATACTCTTCTATGGCTCCCCATTGCCCAAAATGGCCTGGCCCCTGTCCATCTAGCCTCCTCCCACTCTCCCGCAGGGCCACCCAACTCCAACCACAGTGGCCTCCTGGGTGCCATCCCCGCCAATCCTTGAATGACTGTCTCCTCTTTCAGGTTTCAGTTTCAAGGTCACTGGCTGGGGGGGGGGGGGGGGGGGGGGGGGGGTCGCCTCAGACCGTCAGTCTACTATAGCCACTTTCCCCAGGACCTTTCTATTGCAGCATCTTGCTTTATCTTCACACAACTTGCCATTTTCGGATATTATTATTGTATTTCTTGTTTTCTGTCTGGCTTGCACGGTAGAGCACGAGTGTTGGAGGCCAGCGACCAAGTCCGTTCTCAGCCCCTGTGGCATGATGCTTGGCATACAGAAGGTGCTCAGGAAATGTGCCATACAGAAGGATGGATGGATGGATGGATGGATGAATGAATGGATGGATGGATGGATGAACAAATGAACAAAGCCCCGTGGGCCCCCGAGGGTAGAGGCACCTAAACTCAGCTGAGTCTCAAACAACAGCAAAGGCTGGAGACGCCTCTGGTCGCTGGGAGCCCCCAGACTAGGCGAAGCCCAGCGCGTCTCTGTGGAGACAGCGACAGGACCCGCCCCCGCCCTCGGGCTGCAGTCTGGCCTCCTTATCTGGCGGTGGAATGCGCGGTATCTACACTCGCTCCCGCCGGGGCCGCGCCTCCTCTCCCGCGACAGCCACACGCGAGGAATCCCTACATCTCCCGTGGGGGTGGGGAACGCCTCTCCCCCCACTCCCCAAGGAGCTTCGTCTCGGTATTCCCGGAGGGCTTAGGCGCGGGGAGGAGGGGTGACCCCAGCTGCAGCCACACGGCAAATACCGAACCGCCGTCGCGCCAACGCGGGGGGACCGTGGGCTCAGCGCGTGGCGCCCGTTGTCTCTGACTAGGGCAGAGTCGGGGAGGGTATGGAAATCCCCGAGTGAGTCAACTCGTGCCGGAGGAGGGGGCGAGGTTCCGACAATCTGCTGGGCCCGGGACCACGCGGGGTCCGCGCCACGCGCGTTCGCACCGTCGCCCCATCCCTGGGCCCCAGGAGAAAGATGAGGCGCCGGAGCCACGCAGTCACGTTCCCATTCCTTCCAGAACAAAGCCACGCCCCCGCGGGGTGACTGAAGAAGACGGACTACTCGGGGAAACTGAGGCACCGAGGCCGACCTGCAGGCGGTGGGGCAGACTGCCCTCCCTGGGGACTCCGCCCCTCGGCTTGGAGGCTCGCCGGCGCGTTGCACCTTTCGCTCTCGCCCGGCCGGAGTCAGCCAGGAGGAGGGCCCTCCCCCCTCCCCCCATACGCACTCCCCGAACCCCTCGGTTCTGCCTCCCAGTGTCCGGCCGAAAGCGCTCGGATTCCGCCTTCTGTTCGGCGCCAACTTCCTGCCGCCGAGGAAGGCGGGGAGCTCAGTCTGGGGGTTCGCGGCGGAGGCTGTAGGGGCGGCCCGGAGTCGTGGAGAAGGTTCACAGTGACCACTCCCTCCGTGCAGCAGGAGCACGGGCGGCGCGTGCGCGCCCGGGTGCGCCCCCAACCCCTCGCCTGGCCCCCCCAGCTCCGACCCTGCGACTCCCGGGCCCCGGGCCCCGTCTTTTCTGCTTTCCCCTCGCCCCGCACTCACCTGGCTGGGCAGGCCGGGTCCCTGCTCTGGCCGGAGGGGCTTCGGCGTCTGCGTCCCCGGGACGGCATCGGCAGGGGCTGGGGCTGCCTGCCGGGCTGGGGCTGCGTCCCGGGGCTGGGGACCTGGGACGGAGGGGGGCGGGAGAGACACCGCCTCGGCCCCCCACTCGCCCCGCCCTCCTCTCCTCCCCTTTCCGGCGGCGGCTAAATGAATTCCAGATGTGGTCGGTCGGGCCCGGGCGCGCGCTGGGGACGGCGGGGGAGGCGCGCGGGGTCCCTTTGTTCGCCTCCCCCACCTCTCGCCATGCCCCTCCCAGCCCCCACTCGTGAGAACCTGCCGGCGTATGACGTCACACGACTCCGTGATGTCACGTCTCTCCTGGCCAGGTGGCTTCAACCTGAAACAACTCTTTGATTGCAGATATACTCTTGGCCCGTTCCTTGGGACCTTGGAATTGGAGGAGAGCATGAGATCCCCTTTACGCAACAAGGAGCTACTGAAGCACCTTTGTGTCGATGCAGCAAATAGGCATTAGGCGCCTACTCTGAGTTCCCACAACAAATGGTCAAGTTCCTACTATGTGCCACGCCCTGCCGCAAAGACAGGATTAGTTTTGCCTTGATAAGACCTCAGAATTCAGATAAGACTCCTAGAAAACTCAGAGCACCCACCAGCCTATCTACCCTACCTCTGCCCTTGCTGTGGTCAACCAGCGAGGCAGGCCCAGATTCATCAGAGTGCTCGCCTTCATGGAGCTTATGTTCAGGTGCAAGAGACAGCCTTGTAGGAGGCTACTATTTGTGAAAATGTGTATATAACCTTCCTATATGTTTATTTACCAGATAACATTAAGCATTTGGCTGGTATGTGCCAGAAACTGTTCTAAAAGGCTGGAGATGTATCAGGGACAAACCAGACAAAACTCCCTGGAGCTGATGTTCCACAACCTGTGCTCAGAATATCCAGAATATTGCAGGCAGAAGAAACTGGTGAATTTCCTGGGAGAGGAAGTGAAAGATAGGGATAGGGCACGGGAAGGAGGCTGCTCTCATTCTATGAACTCTCTCGTACCTTTTGATTTTTTTTTTTTAATGTGCACATGTGTCCAATGCCAATAATAATTGACTGCTATAGGGGTGCCTGGGTGGCTCAGTCAGCTTAGTGTCCAGCTCTTGATTTTGGCTCAGATCATGATCTCAGGGTTGGTGAGGACAAATCCCACCTCCAGCTGCGCACTGACAAGGCCGAGCCTACTTGGGATTCTCTGTCTCTCTCTCTCTCTCTCTGCCCTTGCTCTGCTTGCACACAGGCTCGCGCTCTCTCTCTCTCTCTCTCTCTCTCTCAATCTGAAAAATAAATAAATAATAATTTTTTTTAAAAAAGACTGCTGGAGACATAGTGCAATAAGAAGGAAAGGTTCAGGGCACTTTCTGTGTGTATATCATACTTCAGTAAAGAATGTTGAAGTGCAAAATGACAAAAAAGGATATCTGCACTCCTGTGTTCATTGCAGCATTATTCACAACAGCCAGGATATGTAAGCAACCTAAATGTTCATCAGTGGAGGAACTGATAAAGAAAATGTGGTAGGGGGTGCCTGGGTGGCTGAATCAGTTAAGCGACAGACTTTTTTTTTTTTTTAATTGAAAACAATTTTTTTAATGTTTATGTCTGAGAAAGAGAGAGAGAGAGAGAATGATCGGGGAGAGGCAGAGAGAGAGGGAGACACTGAATCTGAAGCAGGCTCCAGGCTCTGAGCTGTCAGCACAGAGCTGGAAGAGGGACTCCAACCCACGAGCTTTGAGATCATGACCTGAACCAAAGTCTGACACAACACAACCGACTGAACCAGCCAGGCGCCCCAAGCGACAGGCTCTTGATTTCAGCTCAGGTCACGATCATACATTTCATGAGTTCGAGCCCCATAGTCAGGCTCTGTGCTGACGATGCAGAGCCTGCTTGGGATTCCCCCTCTTTCTAAATTCCCCCTCTTTCTAAAAATAAATAAACTTAAAAAAAAAAAAAAAAAAGGAGAGGGGCACCTGGATGGCTCAGCCGGTTGAGCTTCGACTTCAGCTCAGGTCATGATCTCACAGTTTGTGGGTTGAGCCCATGTCAGGCTCTGTGCTGACAACTCAGAGCCGGAGCCTGGAGCTACTTCACCAGGATTCTGTGTCTCCCTCTCTCTGCCCTCCCCTGTTCATGCTCTGTCTCTCTCTGTCTCAAAAATAAATAAACATTAAAAAAAATTAAAAAAAAAATAAATTAAAAGAAAAAAAATGTGATATATTATATATATATATGAAATATATATGTAGAAATATATAGTGGAAATATATAGTGGAAATATATATAGTGGAATTATATATATATAACATATTATAATATATAACATGTTTATATAATATTTTATAACATATTTTGTTTTATATATAACATATATTGTAATATATATATATAATGGAATTTTATTCAGCCATGAGAAAGAAGAAAATCCTGCCGTGTTTTCAGACAGCATGGATGAACCTGGAGAGATTACACAAAGTGAAATAAACCAAGGAAAGATAAAACTGCTTGGTAATCACTTATATGGAATCTCACTCCAAAACAAAACAAATCCACTCAAAAAACAAAAGTAATAAAAAAAGTGGTGGTTGCAAGAGGGAGGTAGCAAATGTTGGTATGGGTGACAAGGTTGAGGATCTAATGGGTGGGGGCTTTCATTACACTGTAATGTAAACAGTTGAAAATTTATAAAATAAGAGAACTCTACCTATACACAAATGGGGTATACAGTATATTCTACCCCACTCATATAAAATAATGCTATATGTTAACTACTGTTGTATCCTTTTTTAACAAAAAATTTTAAGGTTTATTTTGAGGAAAATAAACGAAAGCGGGGCTTACAAAGAAACGAGGCAAAAAAAAAAGAGGGAGACACAGAATCCCAAGCAGCAGGCTCAAACTCTAAGCTGTCACCAAAAGAGAGCCCAATAATGGGGCTCAGGCACAAACAGACGGTGAGATCATGACCTGGCCAGTTGGGCGCTCAACCGAAAGTGAGCCACCCAGGCACCCAACTAGCTATGAATGAATCCTTTTGGAAGGTATACACATATCAAATCAACATGATGTACACTTTATCTCACGGTTTTATATGTCAATGATACCTCAAGAAAGCTGAAATTAAAATTAACAGGGGGGGCGGACGCCTAGGTATCCAGTCGGTTAAGCATCTGACTCTTGATTTCTGCTCAGGTCATGATTCACTGTCGTGACATGGAGCCCCGTGCTTGGGATTCTCTTTCCCTCTATCTCTGCCTCCCCACCTCAAAAAACAAACAAACAAACAACATTAAAAAAATAATTAGGCTGCTTGATACACAGACAATGCGAACCAATAGAAGAAGAGTTTTGGTACACTCTTCTGTATGTATGCTATACTTCATAAAAAGTGTTGAAAACAAAGCAACAAAAAGGAAATTAATATTGATCCATTTCTGCCTATTATAAAGTAAAAATGGAGGAGTCTTGATCTGAAACTGTCTTCAACGTATTAAGTTGAAAAAAAACCACAATGTAAATCAGTTTGCATTGTAGGCCTGCACGTCCAGGTGTATTTATAAGGGCTGTATAAATACACACATTTGCCTGCGGGCCCACGGGCCACCTCCCGGAGAAGGCACAAGACACTGGTCACAGCTGCTTGGTTACCCTCAGGGCAGGAGCTGGGGGCAGGGGAACAAGTGAGAGGGCCAGATTTTTTATAGTGTAGGGGACTGTTTGAAATTTTTAGTTCATGGTACCAATTTAAAAAATTGAGGGGCACCTGGGTGGTTCAGTCGGTTGAGCATCCGACTCTTGATTTTGGTTCAGGTCATGATCTCACATTTTGTGGGATTGAGCCCCGAGTTGGGTTCATGCCGTCGACAACATGGAGCCTGCTTGGGATTCTCTCTCTCTCTCTTTGTCTCTGCCCCTCCCCTGCTTGTGCTCTCTCTCTCAAAATGAATAAATAAACTTTAAAAAAAATTGTAAAGGCAGAAAATTATATGAAATCAAATAGGTGACAAGTCACCAGACTTCTAGTCATAAAATTGTTCTTGTAATAAAAAAAATAAATATTACCAATACTATAAGTAATAACATGACAAATAAACATACTGATATTATTCAACATCTTGCTATTAAATAAATTTATATTAATAATAAACTTTTTAAAAAGAACAATATATTTAACTTATTAATAAAGAAATGAGCATTAAGAAGCAATACATTGGGGCACCTGGCTGCCTAGCTGGCTCAGTTGGTGAGACATGAGACTCTTGAACTCAGGATTCTGGGTTCAAGCCCCACGTCAGGCATACAGTTTACTTAAAAAAAAAAAAAGAAGGGACGCCTGGGTGGCTCAATCGGTTAAGCGTCTGACTTCGGCTCAGGTCGTGATCTCACGGTTTATGAGTCTGAGCTCCACGTCCGGCTCTGTGCTGACAGCTCAGAGCCTGGAACCTGCTTCTTCGATTCTGGGTCTCCCTCTTTCTGCCCTCCCCGGCTTGTGGCACTCCTCTGTCTCTGTCTTGTCTCTGTCTCTCTGTCTCAAAAAAATACATAAACAGAAGTTTTTTTAAAGAAAATCAATATTATATTATGCTATGTATGTGTATATATGTATATGTATATGTATGCAGCATTGGCATATATTCATAGAATCCTCAGTACTAGCTCTGGCTATGCCCCGTTGGTTTCTAAACCCTGACAGTCTGACGGCGGAGACAAACCAGACAGTTCTAACAAAAGGTGGCGGGGCTTTGGGAGATAAGAGAACTCAGAAATGACGTTCTTTCCTGAGCTCATTTTCGGCGTCCAGTCACTGCCAGGCCAGATCTTGGGTGCCATCAGACCTCAGCAAAACCTCACTGAAACCCCTGCCGAGTGATGTGTATTGCGTGTTTGCTCGGCACAACCTCTAGAAACCAGGTGTTCAACCCACGGGGTGCAAAACACAAAGAAAACTGGGTCCTCTCCTCAC